TGATTTAGTTTAAACCAGTTTTCTTTTGAAGTAATGATTAAAAGTGTGAAGTTGAAAACAAGTTTAGTGGAAAGATAAAGTATAGTTATTATGTTGAGAGTACACAGGCCAGAGCAGCTACTGAAAGAGATTGCTGCTGGTGTGTACAATGAACTATTGTCGAGGACTGTCCTCACTCTCAGTAGAGACACAATCTTTTAGTGTGAGAAAAAACTGAGGCCTATTCATAAAGCTGGAGTATAATATATCCCTCCCCCTCTTTAACCCTAAACAAAAAAGAGGCAGGCACAAAAAAAGACAGGTTTAAAGGGCTTGCATTCACTCAAGTGCACGTGATACACACAGAGACACACATGGGGGGATAGTGTCAGTTTACCATCAATTCAAAGGATTTCAAATCTTATTAGTAGCTGGAGCTTGTTTGTTATTTGAATCCCAAAGTTTTATTCTCCCAGGATTTATATTCTAAATTCCTGGTAGGATTAAACTTGGCTAGACCAAGCTAAACGTTCTCACAAATCAGGAAATCAAATATTTAGGGAAGGAAAACAACAGGGAAATCAGAAACATACTTTGCAATAAAAATGCTTTGCCAACATTTTATTCCAAAATAAAGGAAAAAAAATGGACTCACATTAAGACACAAAAGGCCCTATGTATACACTACAAAATATCCTCTTATTGTATCTTAGATCCTTATCGTACATGTTTATCAAATGGCAAGTAAAAAAACCTGCAAGTCATCGTGTTTGATTAATTTAAATGAGTTAATAACAAAAATTGTGCATGAGGCAAAACTCATATTCAACTCAGATAAACAGTTTCGCAAGATAAGGCTGATCCTACTTGGACATTGTTCTGTTCTTATGTAAGACTGTTTAATTATCAGTGTTCAACATCTCAGCTTTCAGTAGCAGAACACGACCGAAACTGTGTGTTTGTGTATGTGTGTCAACAGTAGGAATGTCAAATACAACATTCCTGTCCATGTCTGTATAAGCGTATGTAAATGAAGCCACCCGGGGATTGATCGATATTCACAAATCTAGAAAAAGGGGTGTCATTTCCAGGAATAAGGTCAGATATCAGACTGTCTGCAGCCCAGACTCTCCCAGTTTGTGTGGCTGACTGAGGGAAACCTGAAGCTGCAACCGATCCTCAAACAGTGTTAAATAGATCGGCTGTGGTGTCATGGAGGCTGATGGAGGCGTTCTAATAGTGGGTGTAAAGAATTAAGCGAGGCTCAAGGTCAAAGAGCTTAAACAAGAAAAGAGGAAACACAAAGAAATGGCAGAAAAAGAGAACCTGCACTAATGTGTGAGAAAAATAGTGAATAGCTGGTTTCCATGCAACAATGTGTTCCACTGTTCTGATTATCTTATAAAAGTTTACTTTCTTTGACTTATAATATGCATATGGTGCGGTCTTTATATTTTGGAACTATTCCTTATATTTGATTTATACAAATTGTCATAGTTCCTTACAGTATTGCTATATATTCAAATGTAACCGCTGTCTCATGATACGGATTGTACTGCCATATTTTTGACATACAAAATCACAACAGTCCACAACAGATAGTAAAATTGAGAAAAATCCTATCAATCATACTCTGTGAGCATATGGTTGATACTTTCTGTTTCTGCAGTATCACACTCTTTCTCAGATTCTATGAGGACTTTGAACTGGCCTCTGCAGAGTTAGGTGCGGGCCGAGCTCCATGTTGAATTCTTCCCTGCCTTGTAACAATAAGCTGCCATTGTCTTTTAAACGTCACACTCAGGAACACACCCTGAAAAACACAGAAAACACTCACTCCTTGGTGAGTGTGTGTGTGTGTGTGTGTGTAGATGAATAGCAGGAGGGTGACAAACACATTTTTTTGCAACAAAGTTCCTGAGACTATGGTTGATATGTACATACCTTCCTGTTGGCTTTAAAAGGGAAAACAAAGGAATCATAATATGCTATTAAAAAAAGCCAACTAAAAGCTTTTATGTCCGAGTAATGTGTTGATAATTACCGTATCAAATAATGGGAGTGTGCTTGGCTGTTTTTCCCTTGCTGTATCACAACTCTCACAAATCAAGTCACCATCTCAGTTTGTTTTTTATGACTATGAAAGTAGGGTGTGGGAATTCCTGTAACGTGATAGGTGAAGTGAGACAAAGTGGTTGAATGGCCTTTAGAGGCACCTGTAGCCACGGAGATGAGTTCCTGCCCGCAGGCTGATATCTGTCATTCACAGACGTTAAGATCATCCATTGAAAAACATTGCTTGATGAGTGATTGATAACATCTAACAGGATGTGATTCATTTGCATGCAACTAAAATAGAAACAAAATCATGAATCAACTGATCATTAGTGTTTTGATATATTGACAAACATGATGAGTGGAAAAGTTTGAATAGAGTGGTAACATCCGGGATTAATTATATTACATTAGCAAGATGAGTTTAGAATAGGTGAGCAAAAGATGAGTCTAACAATCAGTTTTTGATAGCCAATTATTGAGAGGCATTCAATTAGCATTAATTCAATAAGAATGAAATACTGAAACTATGATAACACTTGAAAATGAGAAACATTACCATTACAATGAAACTTGGTTGTTAGCAGTGATTAGACTGAAAGCTTCTAAATGAACGTCGGACATTTGAATGTGTTTGTGTCACAGTTAGAAATAATGAGTTCTGCTGTTAATGCCACTTCATCCAATGTAAAGCAACATTATCATAAAAATGGAAGAAACAGTTGAGATAATATCATGAGTGTTTCTGCTTTGGTTCATTCAGCAAACCAAATATCTTAAAATCAAGTTCATTCATTACAGTGATTAAATAATAATGTTACAATCCAAAGTTCCGGAAAAAATTGTTAGTGCTAAATCATTTGCAACAGTACCCACATTGTCCAAGGACCCACATTAGCAAGAAAAGCAGATGTCACTGAATTAATTTGATTTTAATTTAACACAAATTGTCAAACAAGAAACATTCTTTACAAAGCAAAACAAGCAACTCACATGCCTGACCAATCAGAGCAGAGCAAAAATATCTCAGTTATGTTAAAGTGAACGCTTCCATGGTTCAAAGAGTAGAATGGCAAATAGTGTACAAATCATCTAACAGTGAATATCCTCATGACAAGTTGAGGGAATTTCTCATGTTTCCCCTATTTTCTAACCAATGTACTTGTTATATCCCTAACCAGCTAAAAACGGTGACATTTTAATGACTCCCTCAAAGGAAGTGTTATCCATAAGTTAAGAGTCAATTTAAAACCAGCTCATCAGCTACTCTCATTGCCCTTAAGCAAGGCACTAAAAACCCCAAGAGCTGCCTGACTCAATGACCAGTGAGTAGAGAACTACTGCTATAGCAAGCAGCTGTGGCTATGAGTAAACGTGATGTTAAAAAACAGCAGCAATGTTCTGTCCACACACTGACTGATACACACCATCTTGGGTTCTGTCTTACCTGCCACTCTGTTGGACCTGGCCTCCCGAGCGAGTCCGAACAGTGTGGAGAAGTGTGCCACGGGCCACCTGACAGCAAGCCTCAACCATCCAGAGCGGGCCATGCTCTGTCTGTCACCAATACTTCAAAAAAAATCCCAAATGTATTCCCTCACAACAGATGACGGAATAAAACGATGAAAGGTGCAGCGTGAGGAAATGGTGAGGAAGGTGAAGGACGTAGGACATTTGGATAGAGATAGAAGGACTTTAAGAAAGAGAGGCAGAGGCCCACGTGCACTGCCTACCCTCTCACTATGTGCAGGAATGCACCTCGTACCTATGTGAAAATTGTCAGTCAGAACTGTGCACCCAGTACGAGATGCCAAAACAAACCGGGCCAATTAGCTTTGGCTCTACAACTGTTGTTGTTCAAGCCATTAACTATTAATACTTAAAAAGTCATTTAAACTCAAACAGTACCTGACAAAGCTAACCTAAGATGTATACACATTTCCTGGAACCCTGCAGCAGCAGCATCAAACTGATTCTTCCACATTCACATTACTTTTATAAATGAATATTGTAGTAGAGCATGGCCTATTCCCAAATACACAAAAACAAACACACACATTTATCTGCACACACACTCACAGTTATGATAACCCTTTATTTAAATACACAATCCTCTTTCCGCTGGTCCTTGCGGAGAGTAAGCTTGTTTGAGTTTACAGTGGAATTTAAATAGTGTGTGTGTGTGTGTGTGTGTGTGTCTGTGTGAGTGTGTGTGTTTTCCCAGGTAAAAAAGGAAATCTGATAAGCACTGATGGCTCACTTTTAGATTCCTGCTATATTACATTTTGTCCTCAGTGACCGTGTATTTCTAACCTGTGGGCAAAAGGGCCTCAGACTTGAACTATGACATCAAGCAAAAAATAAATTCTACTTTATTTGGCTTCCAGTTTTCCAAGTAACCCTTTCACATACAGAAGCTCACCGACTAACAAAGCAAAACATCTACTTCTTAACATCTTATATTGATGGTATTTATGAGCTGCTCAATGTCAGTAGCTGAACCCACTAATGATATATTTCAAGTGACAAATATAACGGTAAGTTCGATTCCAGGTAAACTAGATGAGTTTAAAGGATATAGCTGTATTGACACCAATCCCTGCAAAACACATTGACACTGTATTAAAAGTATTAATATGTATATTCTAATTTCTATGTTATAACATATAAGTAGAATTTGCTTATTATTATTGACTTTCTGATCACCTGTATATAGTGTTATGCCATGACAATGAATTGTGGCGTTCATTGTGTCTGCTCTATGGATGCATCTACTTACAATTATTCGCAGATATCCTTGATGAATTTTAAGAACTGTGAAACTGTGTTCATGAGGCCAACAAGATCAAAACAAATACATCGTGTTGTCGTTTAATCAGTTCAAGCCCCAAACCGATTAAATCACCATCCCATGTTGAGGATGTCCCAACACACTTCCCCCCCCCTCCACTGCCCAACAGTCTTACCTTGTAGCTGCTGCTGCTCCAGGGCCAGAGTCTCCAGGGTGTAGTTGCAGAACTCCAGATTCTCCATGGCTTGCATGCGGGCCGTCTCATCCTCCTCCTCCTCCAGCATTGTCCTGAGTTCTTCTGCCGTGTGTGCATATGCCTCCATGTCGTGCTCCACCTCCTGCAGCCGGAGCAGCAGCTGGTACCTCTCCTCCTCTTCCCTCTGCCTCTGACTCTCCAACTCCATCTCTCTCTCCAGCTCCTTCTCCGCTTCTAGCTGGCACTGGATCTCTTCTTCCTGGGCGGCTGCGAGGTCACCGAACTCAGGCTGCCTTCCTGCGACTTCGTCCAGGAGGTTCATAGCGGATTCATCAGGGGAGTAGAAGATATTTGGAGGAGTGGTGTTTTGTCTCGGGAAACGAGGAGGGGCACGCGGAGCAGGGCGGGCTGGCTTGTACCCAGGTGGAGGTGGTGGGCGAAGGACTTTAGGACGAGGAGGTGGGGGGCGAAGGGTCCTGCGTCTCTCTAGGGAGGAGGAAGCAGAGATCGACTGCAATAGGTGGGAAACAGGCGAATGTGAGGTGCCTCGCATGATATCGCTCTCATCGCTGAAGTCCATGATAGAGAAGTGGCGTGACATAGATTGCGGGCTAAGGTCGCCTGCAGAGGACGTGTGATTAGGAGCACTAGAGCTAACGTTACTATCGCTGTAGGTCAAGCTTTTCTCAAATTCAAAGAGCTGCTGGGTTAGCTTAGCCTCCAGGTCCCCAGCTGAGGTTACCAGGGCGTCTAAAGTCAAGGATGTTGGCATGACACCATTGGAGCCACGCTGCCGGGAGCGTTGCCTTTCCTCAGCGCTGCCCATCATCATATCAGCATCAGTGACGCTAGCGTGGCGGGTTAGCTTCTTCTGCCGGTGGTTCTCAGCCAGGGTTAATAAGGCCTGGCCGAGACTACCACTTTTCTTACTGGTGGGGGAAGCGTCCTTTGGTGGCCTCTGGGAGTATCTGTTGTTTTTAGACCAACCAGTATGAGTGCTAGGGAGGGTAAGGCTATGTGTTAGTTTGGGCTGTAAGGATCTAGAGTTACCGTTAGGATAGCTAGATCGATTAGGGCCAGAAGATGGACCGCTTTGTCTGTGGCTACGTGCGGGCAGGCTAGGCCGAGACGGGAGTCTGGGTCTTGCTGGAGGAATGGATTTGGGTCTCTCGGGTCCCCTCTGTGCTGGGGCCACAGGTCTACGTGGCTGAGATTCAGGTCTGCTGCCCCCGTCTCTCTGTCCTCTGTTGTTTGTCTGAGCCCCAGTGCTCCTGTTTTCATTTTGCCTCCTCTGCTCCTCCTTCCTCTCAAAGTAGTCCAGGTCCCACACTGTATGATCCTCATAAGTCGTCCATTCAGGATCATTTTCTGACTCAGAGGCTTCAACAACATTTGTTTCCTCTGGCGGTTTCTCCCCGTCGCCCTCTATTTTGACAAAACGGTGAGGAAAGATACCGTGTCGCCCTCGCAGCTCCCCCTCCAGCCAACCGTCTTCCAAAGTGCCTAAAAGATGTATGCGATCCCCCATATCAAAGTTCAACTCGCCTTGGTCTAGGGCCCGAAAGTCATACAGTGCCACAACATAAACACCTCCCTCCTCCTCCTCCTCCTCCTCCTCCTCTTCTTCTTCTTCTTCTTCTACTAAATCCTCTTTCTGCTCCTCCTCCTCCTCCTCCTCTCTCATAAACACCACTCCTTCTACAACTTCTGCCCCATCTTCTGCATCATATTGATCGTCGTAGCTATATTGTTCAGAATCATTGTTCAAATACTGGCAGTCCTCGGGCTCCTGAGGAGATCGGATGGATCCCTGGAGCTCCACAAACCCCTCTGGGAAGATGCCCCTGTGGCCATTCAGCTCCCCCTGGAACCAGCCCGGCTCTGGCAGGCCGGTGATGATGATCAGGTCGCCCTCGCGGAAGTCCAGCTCCTCGTTGAGCTGCGCATGGAGGCTCATGAGGGCCCGAGCCTGGCCTAGGGCGTACGGGGGGAGCTCTGACGCCTGGGCCTGAGCGGAGCGTTCAGACAGCTGCCTGGAGCGACCTGAGAGGGCCAGCTCCTTCACACATGATGTGGGGAAGAGACCGCGGACGCCCAAGGCATTACAACCCCGCTGCCAGGTCTCATCGAGGTTTATGGACCCTCCTGCCTCTCCAACTACCACATCACCTACAGAGACCAGAGATAATGAGCATCACATTTAACATACTGATGTGAATTATGTCACAGTTAAATGCTAAAAGAGGTTTCTAAAATGGCTAAGATCCTCGGATATTCATAAATGTTATTATATGATTTGAAATATTTTGTATTTGTCATTTTAGGTAATACAGGTTAAAGGGGAGTTTTAAGCACAGAGGGACATGCACAGAGACAAAGCAAGAACACTTTAGGATATAAAGGTAAAGACAGCAGACGCATGCTGTCCTAATGGTTGCTCTTATTAATATACAGTACATGTGTAATGTTGTTGTTTTTTGCACACAGATAGTACTGCATGGTATCCAGACAGTAAAGGTAAATTAGCCACACTTATACAGCAATACTAAACCCTTAAAATAAAACAAACAATAATAGAAAAGTAAAAAATAAAACTAATCTTACATTATCTAATTAAACCAATTAGCCATCTAATTATTGAATGAACATGCCTGTAGTTGTTACATTTGGGGCGGCCATCAGGTGTGCCTGGCAGAGAGCTCGTTAGATTTTTTTTTTTCCTCTTCTTTGCCTTAATTAACTGCACTGACTTAGCTTGACTGGAATTTGAAGAACTGCAATGAAGTGCCAGATATTTTGTCCACGTTCAGGTAGCTCTGGTTCTGTCAGGTTATCTCGGGTTACCTTTATTATTGCATTTTTGATTAACAGTTCTAGGGTCAGTAATGGTGCTTTTATATCTGGAGGATCAGGATTATAGGAATGTTGAGCCAGAAGTCCTGGGGTCGCATTCCAAAGACCTGCGGCTCCACCTCCCATTGTGTCTGGGACCAAAACTGGAACGCTGCCAATGGTCACAGTGTAAATTCATACTGGAAATGAAACATTTCCACTCTCAAATGGCTAATAAAGACTGTCTCCTATGTTTCCTTTGCTGCAGGAAGTGTTATTTATCTATGACAGTACAAACATATACAGGAATATTGTTTTTGAGTATATTTGGTCAAAGGTTAAATCTAAATATAAGAAGACATGTTTATGTATTTACACATTTGACTTATTGGGACTGTTCAATAGAGTCTCCAATGTTAACTTAAAATGCTCAATGCACAATTCTCAATACTACAACTTCTATGACTACGACTACTATTAGAACTTCTAAGGACAAAAAAAGACAACAATAACAAGTGTTACCGATGAAAGGGATCTCTGCATCTGTGTTGCATGCCTGAGGTTGTTGTTAAATAAGAAATAAGAAAAAACGACAACTAATGTGAGATAATTCCAGTAAAAAGACAAGGTCAGCTGGAGACAGTCTATGCAGCATTTAGTTTGGCATCTAGGGACATCTAGTGGGCAGTTTCAGAAGGAGGCTTTGTATGATGCGTGTCTTTATGTGGCACTTTTTAACACGTTTCATCATTTATTTATATATTTATATTTGACCACTAAGAGAGGTGTTCATGTTTTGCTCAAGTGAATAGAACATTTGAAAATGCATCAACAGTCAAAAAACTTTTTATCTAAATAGTATTATATTTCCACAATAGTGGAAGATCAAAGGGGAAAGTAAATTGACTTAAGAAATTAACATTTAAAAATGAAATAAATAAATTCGTTTTTTTTGTAGGAAAAAAGCATTCCTTGTAAATCATGAATGCTAATTGAATGGCCTTAAACAACACAACAACTAAAACAATCAGATGCACAAATGTGTCAGTAGCTGACTGTGAATGTGAAACTGAATGTGTAAGCTTTCTTTAAATGTTAATCCTACATCATGGCATCAGTTCTAGTTCTCAGTCTTTCCCTCTGTTTGCACACAGTAACCTTTGAGTGTTTTTCCAATTACATTTTATTGAGAAGCTCCACGAGACAGAGTGACATCACAGGTTTGACCATTTGCTATTTAGTATATAGTTGATCATGTTCATTTAAAAGAGAGGGAGGACGCCATGAAGGAAAACCAGTGCCTAGTCTACATTCACTATGATCCATTCAAGCAGGAATAGCATTATAAATTGCATTTTCACAAAAAAATGGTTGTGAACTGTTCTACTAAAAGTGCACAAATGGGTCAATGAAGACAAAGTCACAGTGTCTAACACAACACAACACTTCAACACAAAACAAACAGTTTACCTGAGCACAGCGACATCAACAAGTAGCGTTAGGCTAAGTGAGGAAACACGGCCCATTAGAGGTTACAGTAGTCCTACGTAAAACACAGATGTGTTACATCCTGTATCCTGCGCCAACAATCTACTTACAAAACGTACAACGCCTAAGTGGGCTCTGATAAAAAATCTTCATGTTTTATGACTAAGAGTCATAAAGACCAGTGATTCATACTTTTATCTGTATTCTAAAAGTACTGTCGGGATGAGTGCATGCAGTATGTCCTTACCTCTAATCAGGGACAGGTTCCCCTGCTCTGCGGAGTTGAAATCATTGATGCAAACGTAAAGTCTGTCTCCAGGCTTGCTGCTGGGGATTGTGATCTCTTCCACAAAGGTGGTGGGAAACTGACCTGAAGACAGAGGACAGAGGAGGGAAACAATAAAAATGTTTCCTATACGTGACTGATTCTTCTGTTTCCAAGACACTGACACAGTTGTAACTTCCTGAATTCAGAATATTCCGATATGTTTACTCACAGACATGTACAGTGTGATCTGGCTGTAGTATCCTAAACCTCATTTCTGAATGTGCAGATAGCGTCAGTATAGGGAGATGAAAGGGTACTTTTTAAAAAGAAAACTACATATTACTTTATTATTTTAAGATGAATAAAATATCCTACAGGAATGACTGATAGTAGTTATAGCAAAACAGTAGCCCTGAGTACTACAATTCTCAACTATTAGAAAAAAGCCAATAGCCTTTTTGGCTTGAACAGTTTTCTCTTTGCTGTAGTTTTGAAACTGATTCAAATATTTAGGGAATGCAAACACATCAAGAACATCTGGATTGAATTTAATAAAAGAGATTATTTGAATAGACACTTCAGACAACATGTTAGCCTGACACCAAAGCCAGTTTCTCATCTTTCCAGGGAAGTCCTGACATCAATGTATTAACATCTGTGTTTTCCAGGAGCAGTACAGCAAGGCCACATTGACTTCCCATTCGCACTTCCCCTCTGAGGGAATCCCCTTTCTTATCTTCTTCCTTCGAAAAAATAATTGGATTTCTGGAAGAAAAACACTTAAAAAAGCAGCGAAAGCTAATAAAAAATGATGCACCCTTTCATCTTGCCCAGAATGAATTGCGATCATCCTCTTCACACCTGAACATAAAGTAAGAACTTATTCATGAACTAAATCTGCCATACCTAATTCACCCCTCTTCACTTCGGAAGTATTTTCAAAATCGTTCTCAATTCCCAGACCTTATGAAGGGCTAGAATGTTTAATATTGAATCCTCTGTATCGTGTAACGCAGACCTCAGAGAGGAAGTGAACCATGCCTTGTCAAACATTTGTTATATTGCATCAAACAAGCACAAATGAAAGACCAAACACAGTTTTCCGTGTGGTGGGAAAGTACGATTTTCCATGTTGTTTTCTATGGTTGTAATTCGAAACAGAAATACTCAACCATAAAGGTTTATATACAATAATAATGACCCCTGACACCTTACCTGTGACGCCATCTTTGTTACCAAGCAACCAGAACTCATCCACGACACTGAGCACCTCGATGACATCACCGGGGAAGAGTGGCAGCTCCTCGGAGACGCTGGGAAGGAACTCAAAGACGGCACGCACCACCGACCCTGCTTCCATTACTCATAACCTGCAGAGGCAAACAAAATACAAATTAAAAGAGTATTCCCACTAATTGTTACATTCAAATGTTATACAATGCATAGAAAAATGGGGACAAGTAAAAGAAAAATGGAGGATAAGCAAAAAAAGTGCACACATTTGTCAAAATGCAGATGCGTCTCAGTTTTCTAAATAAGGAACACTGGTGCTATTCAAAAGCCTCGCCATACAAATCACAAACAGAGAGTGAGCTTTTCTGAAACAACATTAAATGAAGGGGGGGGGAGAGAGAGCGTGAGAAACCTAAAGCAAAAGAGAGAGCTGGTCTTCACAAGGCTTAAAGACATTCCTCGACACTCTGTATAACCTTCCCCTGTTTCTCTGCTTTCTCATGAAGAGAGGTGTGTACAGTAATCCCATTTACCAACTCCTGCTCTTCTCCGGCAAAAGTGCATATAAAATAAAAGTGTGTATGTGAGGCAACATCTTTTTAAAACCAACCACATAATAACACAAAACACCCATTTTCGAAAACGTGTGCTCAGTACTGTCTACATTAATTAGCAGCAAATTGAACTAACACACAAAATTGTATTTAATAAGTACTCCACGAGCCCTTGTGTATCATTATCTGGAGACAGACTAACCACAGGTGGGGATGGACGCGCTGAAAGAGAGGGGAAATGAGAGAGGAGGGCTGTAGTTTGCCACAGTCAATGGGGCCTCTGTTGTTTGGGCTGATGGAGCCAAAGGGGGGGGGGGGACACTCTAGTCCAGTTCAGTGGCACTGTCTCTGGGGAGAGACGCGGCTCAGGTTATCCTGAATGTGGAGTAAGGATAGAGGAGGCAGATGATAAGCGTGTGTGTGTGTGTGGTGTGTGTGTGTGTGTGTGTGTGTGTGTGTGTGTGTGTGTGTGTGTGTGTGTGTGTGTGTGTGTGTGTGTGTGTGTGTGTGTGTGTGTGTGTGTGTGTGTGTGTGTGTGTGTTTGGGTTCCGCAGTGAAGGTTAAGCAGTACTGTTTTGCTTAACAAAAGCAGTTTGATCTCACTGAGAAGCAGGATGTGAACACAACACCACATAGTGTCAATGCCACAGTGTTAACTAATGCAAGCCAAAGGGATGTGTTCATGTAAATGTGAAGAAATAAAGGCAGGCAATGAGCACAAACAAGCGGTGTGTACTTTTTTTTTTAAAGTGACCAAATCAATCTCTAAATGTGATGGCTTCATAATGTCATTTGCAACATGACGCACACTGTAAATCATTTTTCTCCTTAACCTCAGTTCAATTGAAACAATACCAGCCTGTCAGATAATATGACAAATGTAACAAGTCTAAACATGCACACAGGTGAATCACATATCACCCAGCTTTGAGAAACAGTGTTCATGAAACAGAGTTATGGTGATCTTCAAAACAACTCCCAGCCTTATCTGTTTTGTCTATGTTTGTGAAAGATGATATATAGAAAGAAATGCCTGAACCATTAGTTCATTGTGGTTGCAGGATAAAAATAAACAAGTATAGCTCATCTCACCTGAAGAGAGCACAATGCACTTTAAACTGTCAGGTTAAAGAAGTGTCTTTGTGAAAAGCCTGGGTATTCCCTTTAACCCAGCATTTCTCAAAGTGTGGGGCGCAGAGATGTGATAGGTGGATCGCGAATGGACGCGATGAATGGGAGATTATTATTATTTGTATTTCTTTTTTTAAATAAATGTTTTGGACCTCAGGCCGGAATCGAACCTGGGTCCTCGTGGGCGGTAGTGGACTGTTACAGCCGGAGACTCGCAACGGCGGTGGACTTTCACAGCGGACCCGCCCGAGCCGCCCGAGTCGCCCGAGCCGCCCGAGCCGCCGGAGCCTCGCAACAAAAAAAAACAGTTTAAAAGGGGAGTGATTAGTAAAATATGCATAAATAAAAAGAAAGAATGCTAACTAGGTAACATAAGATAAGAATAAACAAGTTTAAATTATTTGTTATTGGTTGTGATTATATTCTAAAGATGTTTGGATTATTGAAAAGTATACAGCTCCCTTTCATATGAATGTTGAGAGCTGTATCCATAAATTCATTTTGTGCTCAAAGTGCACCAGATTGATGCATTTCACTTCAACAATTAAAAAAATCTTCCCGGGGGAGCATCCCCCCGGACCCCCCTAGAGGATGTGAGGTCCACCCCCAAATAAAGCAGGTTCAAATAATTAAATTAAATACATTTTATTTTAGTAAACACTGAAAACGGGTCCCACAGACCCAAACAGCACACAAAGGTTAAAGGTAAGCATATAATAATGTTAAAATGTGCTAAATATATACACTGCAAAAAAAAGAGGAGTAAAAGTAGCTCACGACTTGTTTTATTTTTTGAAAGTAGCTCTCATCCTAAAAAAGCTTGGAGACCCCTGTTATAGAACGATACATTTGACAATTTTAAGCTTGGCCTACCATTTTATTGGAGCGATGAGGAACAGGTGGGGCTTGAAAAGGCCCACATGTTCAAAGTGGGGAATGACAGGAAAAGTTTGAGAACCACTGCTTTAAACTAACAGCCATTCACAAAAAGAAGGTAGTTCCTGTGGCACAGAGGATATTTAAATGTATTTGGCTACTGTGTATGACTTGTGTGTGTAATTGTATATGCATGCACTGCGTTCTTCAGTTGGCAGTTAACAGCGAATTCCAGTAAAGCCACTGAAGACCAGCCAACTCACTGATCATTTTCCTTTTATATAAATAATCTATGTCACCCCTTGAGTCATCTTGCACTCAGTGGCTGTAACACAAACAGAATACACATTTGTCTAATTTTGGAAAAGATCTCTTCTCAGTGTATCAGCTCATAATGTCTTACTTGTTCCCTGAAGATGGGGTTCTGCCAAGACAAGACAGAAAGTCAGACCGTACATACACAGAGGCATTTGTAGCAGAAACAAACCACACAAACTTTACGTTTTCTCAGCTAGAAAATAGAGAAGTGTGTCTTCGGTCAGAGTGACCGCAACACGTACGGACCAACACGCGATACACAACAGTATGCGGTGTTTCATGTGCAAATCTGTGATGTTTCAGAAGCAGATGTCTGCACATATATGGTTGGAGTTATCAATGGGTCCATTTGGGTATGGTCACGTCACTGTACCCAGGAAGAACAAGAGAAATCTCCAACGAGGCGTTCTGGGGCAGCACAGACAGGTCTTTTCTGTGTTAGAGTTTTACTCGCTACAGGGTGTACTTTGAGGGTCTGTGACTTTGCAGACCGTTTACATGCATAAAAAGCTACATAACACACAAGGGGACGGGTAATAACCGGAAAAGCATGACATGGGACCTTTAAAAGATTGAAGATTGAAATTGAAGATTCATTTCTAATCAGGCCTTCCTGTGTGATGTGAAACTAATTTCTAGATTGCAATCTTCTTTTCACAGGCATAATTTTTCTACGTAAATGAATGTCTCAAAAGACATCCATCCATCTTCTCCCGCTTATCCGTGGTCGGGTCGCGGAGGTAGCAGTTCCAGCAGAGAGCCCCAAACTTTCCTTTCCCTGGCCACATCAACCAGCTCTGACTGGGGGAATACATGTGGTAAACAAAACAAAAAAAAATCACCCCTTCAGCCCTTTTGTGCTCAAAGTGCACCAGATTGATGCATTTCACTTCAACATTTAAAAAAATCTTCCCGGGGGAGCATGCACCCGGAAAAAAATCACCCCTTCAGCCACTTAACTTCCTGCATCTTGTGATTCTTGTCTATTCAAGCCTGCCGCCACAGCTGAGCTTACATCCAACACTCAGGAAACATCCCACCACACCCTTCTGCCGTGCCCAGGCCTGCACACACTCCCTACGCTGCTGCAGCTTGCCTCCAGTTAATCCTCAGATCTGCATTCAGCCAGACAAGCTCCTTAGTGTTATTTATGGGTCTGTCGGTGGCCCCTGTACTCGTGCACTTTTACACCCTATACTCTGGCAGATGACAACAAAAGCGCCTGATTGTCCTGTGACACCTGGGTCCTGTACAGTAGTGGAATATAGTTCAATTCAAACATTACACAGGGTCAGCTGATACATAAAAAATAAGCTCAGAATGTTTAACGAAAAAAACTGAGTAAATGCAATAAAGTCCATAATCAATCTTGTTCCCCTAAAATGCAAATAGCTGATAGTAAAATGCTCAGTGTGTCATATGTGTACCAAGATAAATAGTAACTCCTTACTAAACTAGAAGTGATCATCAGCATGTTAGCATACTGTAGCTGACATTAGCATCAAAGACTCACTGCAATACCCTCAAATAAATGTTAGCCAGGCTGTGGACTCTTTTCATATTATTCAAATACTAAATAATGTAATTTGTTAATATAATGCTCTATTTTTGGAATGGCTATTGCTACAAAGAATTTATTTTCTCAGCCGTCTTAGGTCTTTTGGGGCGAGCAGAGAAATTCTTCTGTTGTTCTTTACATCTGTGATCATGTCCATTCTACAGTACTGCAATACTACCTGGTACAAATGTTTGTCAGCAGCTTTAAAATCAAAACTGCTCCACCTGTTAAAAATCTGCTCAAAGATTGTTGGTCAACCCTGTCAGAGACTCTATGACTCAGTCTATCATAACAACCTAGTGAGGCTGTCCAATGACATCATCTCTGACCCAAACCATGTTCTGAACAGTGAATATGAACTGCTACCATCTAATCGGAGATACAGGGTCCCACGTTTCAATAAGGTCAGACTGAAGCACTCCTTTGTGCATCAGTCAATCCTCACAGTAAATACAGAGCTGAATCCCAGATCAAATGCACCCTGAAGGCTCTTTTCTCTCACTGATTGTGCTGTTATGTTAAATGTTTGTTGTTTGTGTTTCATGTATTTTTGTCTGGATATTTGTCTGTTGATTTGTCGTCAGCTGCTGTGACGCAAGTCAAATTTCAGACTTGATCTGACAAATAAAGTAATATCGTATCGTATCGTACATGCTTAGCAGACATGGAATGTGTCATTTAGATGCACTGCTGCCTTCAG